CACTTTTAATTTCCTATGGAACAGAAGTCAGATCCTAAAACTAAAGACAAGGAGTTTAATAGCAGTCCAGACAAGATTCTAAAACAGATTATTAAAGACATGACTTGTGAGTACCTGGATCCTTCAGTTCAGCATGGAATCCATATGAACAATTTATACCAGACACCAGCTTATTCATTCTCTACTATAGCTCTCACACTGTCATTTATTGGGTGTGAATGTCTCACCCACCATATTTTGAGGTCCTTAACAGACAAGATCTGCTTCTCATTCTTCTATTTATATTTCCCAGTGCTTTCAAGGATGCCCAGTATAAATCAAGCACTCAATATTGAATAAATGCTAATTCATTTCTTTTCCTGACAGGATTATTTGGTTAGTAGATCATACATTAATACATTTCAACAGTAGGTCTAGTAAACCCATAAGTAATTTGACAAAGTGTTTATAACAAAATTCTGGAGACGATACAGGCATATGGACTTGTATGAGGACAGGAATTTTATACGGATTAGTGGCAGACTTACTGAAAACTCCTGTAGAGTGATTATTTAATGGATACTTAATGGCACAGAACAGGATTCTGCCCCAAACTACAATGCTTATTTTTGTTTGTTTTTTAAACAGAGGTTTTCATTAAAATAGAAAGGGAAATAAAGTTATATAATGCTGAGATGTTAAATAAGTGAGAGTTAACAGAACTTTTAAAAATAAAACTTTGGTAAACTGAAACTAATGTCTGACTTCTATAAAGAAAAAGGTTTTAAGGGATAAGTTTAAGGTCCTGCATTGGTTTCAAAAACTTGCTTACATACAGGAAATGGAGGTAACATGGCTAAGTAATAGCACACATGAAAAAATTAGTGATTTTAAGAAAATAGGATATGAATTCATAATGCATTATGAATTCCCCAATGTCATATGGGGAAAAATAGTAAAGTACATAAAATGAAAGATGGGACAACTCTTAATTTTGTCCTAACTAGACCAATTCTGACACATGCAATTTGCAGTGTTGTGCATTAAAAAAAGGATATAAAAAATTGGAGCCAGAAACAACTGAAGGAACTAGAAACTAGATTCTTTACAAGCAGTAAAGGAACTAGAAAACAACTAAATATCGATTGAAAGACATAGATTTAGCTTAGAAAACACCTAGACTTTCAGAACACTTAAATATTGAAATATGGAATATATTAAATTTGCCCTCCATGCTCTCAAGGGAAACAGCATTAATGTGTAAATCCTGAAGATAGCACTGTCTCAATTTATAGGAATAATTTTCTGATTAGACCTATCCAAAAACCGAACAGGTTCCCTTAGAAGATAGCAAGTTCCCAAGTACTAGGAGTATTCCAGCACAGAAAAGATGCAGGCATGGGTCAAGATTTAAGCATGGCTGAGTGCTTGTACTGATGACTTTTCAGATATCTTTCTATCCTTTTGGTAAATGATGGAATTTGTATAATCAAAATTTTAACAAGGCAGACATTCTTAGGGAATCTAGTATTTGATGCATCCATTCTGCTCATAAACTTTTCCTCTCAAGCAAAGTCATACTGCTAAAAAATACAACAGACAAGCAAATTCTTAGGTATCCAAATATTTAGCAGTCACTTACCTGCCTTGTTACTGTAATTTCATCATGAACCTCAAATCCTAAAGGACTTTGCTTTTTGTCAGAATTATCAAAGGTGATTGACACTGAAGCTTTGGTAATACCAGCCTGTCCATTTTTGTAAACTAAATCTTGTAAATTAGAAGCCCGAACCTAAAGTAAGAAAAGTGTTATCAATTATAAAAACCTGTACTGAACAAAATGGCACTAAAAGGGGTTTCCCATATAGTGTTCCCAAGTAGCCAGGCAGTTATATTCACACAAAAGGAAAGGAAAAGGGCAACAACCTGAAATGAACACCTTTCTCCAGTTTTTCAACGCTGAAATGAATTGTTTTCTACTCATTTCTTAACAAAAGTTAATTTGAAAGACTGAAGGGAAGATAATGTCTAAGCATTTCACTATTTATCCAATCCTATTAGGAGATCCTGAAAAAGCATTTTAACACAGAGGGGTGAGGAGCGGGAATATGGACTATGGAATGAGACTGCCTTGAAGTAACAATATCTGTCTTTACGTATTGCTCCAAATATCTTAAGAGGACAACCCTTAGGCAACCCCTCTACTTTTCTATTTTCTAACCTAAAAAATGGAGTAATACCTACCTTTAAAGGTCTGCACTGACGTGTAAAATAATTCATATAAAGTAAAAAATGCAAATAAGAGAAAACTGGCAAGTTTCCAATTCTCTTTTTGAGGTTCCTTAAATTTACATTAAGTCAGAAAGTTTACACTTTACCTGAGACAGGTTGGAGATGCCCAGCAAAAAGCAGATGGAGTCCAATATATTGGATTTTCCACTACCATTTAAACCAGTAATAGCATTGAAGAGGGGATCAAAACCATTGACCTCAGTTCTCTGAGCATAGGACTTGAATCCCTCAAGAATGATTGACTTAATATGCATTTTCACCACCGACTTGCACCGGTAAACCTCTGCTACCAATCAAACAGGCCACAAAGTAGTTCTGTATAAACAAGAAACACGTAAATGTAAAGCAAATTTGGAACCATAGTGACTGTAAAAACTAAAAAGCAAAAACGACAGCTCAACAGAAATAAAACAGCCACTTGACAAGCTACTTCCTCTAAAGTAAACGTACCCTTTCCAACTTAAAAACATAACGATAGTTAGTCACTACCTGGAAGTTAACTAAACCGTTAATTCAACCTGGAAGTCAACTACTTACCTCTCCAGGTTTATCTTCCACCGTTAGTATACTCTAGCTGACACAGACTACTAATTCTTTCGTAGCCTCTTCCTCCTGCCTGTAAAGTCTTTCTCCCCATACTTGCAGGGCTCCCTCTCCTTTGCTGCACTCCTGTCTTCGTTCAAATGTCCTCTTCCTCGTGACTTCCCTATATGAAAGAGCACCTCTACCTATTCCCTAACTCCGCTTTGATTACCTTCATGGTACTTAAGGCTGACACCAAACAATACTCGTTTGTTCATCTATCCTACTGCACGTTGCTGTAGGATCTTTGCCTGCCGCCACCGCCGTACGCACGACTGCCTGACTCGACGAGAGCTGGGCTTAGGAGGGGGGTTGTCAGTACGTATCCATGAAAGAAGAATCCCCTATGCTCTCCAGTCTCTTGCTTTCATGTAGGCTGTTCCCTCGCCTCTCCAGGCCTTCCTGTGAACACTTCCTCGCCAGACTCCAAGGCTGGGCAGGAACCAGCCATCCCGCCAGGGATCCCTGAGGCCTGACTTAGCCGGAGCCACGCCTCCCGCCTGAAAGGCCAGGCCAGGCCGAGCCAGCTGCACGCACACGCCGCCTCACCTCTCGTCAGGTCTCGACTGGAGGCGCCCCGAAGCTCCTCCAGGCCCTCGGGGCGGAGAGCGGGCCCACCTCGCCGGGCCTGGGCGCTACGGAAGGAGAACTACCAGAGCTGCCGCAACCCTCGCCCGCGCTCGGCACCGGGCCGAACTATTTATGCCTTTGAATTTAGGCGCGAGCAAAGGACCCCACCGCCGCGGCCTATTTCATTGGCTGCTGCCTAGCAGATGCCTGATTTAGGGGTTCCATTTTCCTCAAAGCGACAGATGCATAGAAGAGAGGGTCCTGGCAATGGCAGCTCCGAGGGTGCCACGACTCGAGCTTGACAACGAAAGGAGCAGGCGGCGTAGGTCGCGATCGGCGTCCGGCACCCATTGGGCAGCCACGTCCCCGGCCCAGGGCCTCGCGCCTCACCGCCCCGCTCTCCGATGGCCGCCCGGAGCCCCCGCCCTCCTGCGGGCCGCGGGGCGCCGCTGGAGTTGTTTACGGCCGCCGGAGGCGTCCCGCTCACCCCCTCGCTCTGCTCCGGCGCCTCAGACTCCTCCGCGTTGGCTCAGATTCGTGGACCGGGCCTGGGAGGTGCCGAACTTCGAGACCCGGCCCGCGTCCTGGCTCCGCCCCTGGCGGGCCTGGGCCTCAGACGGGCCTTCCCGGGTCCGGAAGAGGAAGTGGTGCTGTGCGGAGCCCAGAGCGGAGACCGTGTGGGGCCGGTGGTTGCAGCGGGACGTGCGGGTTTCCCCTTAAACGCCTACCAGCGTGAAACGTTACGCAGTGTGGCAGAACTGCCAGTTCAGGTCATTTTTTGGCAACACCTTACAGCAGCCAATATTTATTGAGCTGTGTGAGAGGCAGGCCCAAAAGGCTTTTTAAGATTTTAACCCCGTGAAATCCGTGACATTCTCATTTTACAGACAAGCAAACTGAGTCACAGATAAGCAATTTACTCTGAGTAGTAAATGGGAAAGCTGAGAATTTTTCCCCAGCAGTCTGGCTCCAGAGCGCATACTGAAGCGTTACCTACCGCTCCTCCGTGTATGCAATCCAGTACTACTAACAATAGGTCCTGTATTTGTGTGTATTATTTAAATTAAAAAAGGAAGAAAACACTGGCTAGTTTATTCACAGTTGAGCATATTGTCGCTAATGAGTTAGGAAGGACTTGCCTCGGAGTGCACTGGGGTGCAATCCCTAAGTAATGGACGAGAAGACGGTATGGCCGTATATTTTTTGACCATGTATATGAAGTTGCTTTTTTACCCTCGGATTGGCCTTACAGTATTCCACACCTGTCTTAACTACCAAGAATGGGCCTATGTTTTGAAGTTCTTCGCTACTGAAGAGAATAAGTTTTGCGGGTTTTTTTGTTTGTTTGTTTAAGGAAGAGTTTACTTGCTGTCACATCCCACTTCTTTCTTTAATGTCAATCGTGACTGGCCCAGCATCATCTAAACAGTTATCTTTGTCTATTTTAATTCCTGCATCTCCTACACTCCACAGCTCTTCACTTGTACTTATGATTTTATTCAGTCTTAATCTATTTATTTTCAACTGTGTCCCTTCATTTCATCACTTTGTGAATGAATAATTTTTAAGTTGCCAACATACTCTACTGTGGTTTTCATCCTGTGAAATTAACATCTCTGGGGGTGAAAACAATGTGTTAAAACAACATTAGCTTTGCACTTGTCTAATTGGTGGCTTATATGTTTCAAATGGATGAAAAGGTGCAAATGTACTTTTGCTGAATAAGGACTTCTGGGTAGTTCTAAGTATACACATCAAACTACTCGATGTATTTATTAAAATGCACATTGCTTACAGGGTAAAGCCGTTATCAGCTTTAGTCATGGAGCGTGCTAGGAACACTGTGGAATTTCTGTCAGTATAGATAGGCTTGTGGGAATCACTAAAGGCTGACGTAGAACTTTGCCTCCTGGATCACCACGGGAAACTGGAGGGTAGATTGGGTGCAAACAGAGCACTATTGCAATTTCATCAGAAATGTGCATCAGAAGCTTTTTTTTTTTATTTGGTATCATTAATCTCATCAGAAGCTTTTGAAAGCTTCAAAACTGGCAGACTAGTGGAGGCCTGGCCCTTGTGTAGAAGGCAGCACCAACAAGGGCACGATAAAAGCCCTGACGCGAAACTTGTGAAAATGCTGGCCGCCTACTCTTCCAGGGCACTGGGAAGGACCTTATTCTCCCCGGTGCTCTTTTCTAACTTTGGAGTCCTAAAGTAGGCCTTCTTGAAACGTGGATGAATTCTCTCTCCGTGGAACTTAGAAGAAAAAGTGAAAGGACTGCACCTTCACAGGAAAAATAAGGGAAGGTTAATTCATTTTGCTGTGAAACTAATTTTGGCTTCAAGGGAAGGAATTGAAAATGACAAGAAGTTCATTGTAAACTTGTATTGAGTAGCAAATACTTGGATACAAGTACGACATCTGACAAACTTGGAAAGAAACAGAGCTGAGCATAATTTAAAATGAATAGAAAAGAAAGTGATTACATTCATTCATCTGTGGGATCTGGTTAGACCCATTCATTGTCATTTCAATGACAATATTGCTTTCAATACTACATGTTTTGTTTGGTTCTTTGTGATATCTGCCTATTCTTTCTATTTTGCCTCTTTAATAAAATTAAATCTTTATCTTTTCTTTCAGGTCCTTCTATTATTCCTAGCTTTTACGCTCTTTATTGTTTACAACATTTGCTGATGTACTCAAAGTGATTTATTTGCTCCTCTGGTGCTGTTCTGAGATGGGGTTGTTTTTTTTACGGGAGTCTCTTCTGCCTTGAATTGAGAGTCCCTTCAGAGCAGTTATGTATTTGCTTCTGCCAGGGTTCTTTGGCTCCTAAAGATCCTGAAGCATTTGTAAATTATTATTTCTCAATTTTTGGTTCCTGAATTATGCAAGTATTGTAAATTTGTATCTATTGCAGGCCTGGGTTTTTGATTTCTCACAGGCACCTTTGGTTTTAACTCTTATCCAAAGCTCCAGAAAAAGAACCAACTTCTTTGCCTATTCACCAGACTAGTAGGTGAAATTTTTCTAGTCCCAGTTCTTTAAGGTGCAAGGTTTTACCTAAGGGCCTAGTTCCAGCTGCTCTGCCTCACTGAAATTCAAGGCCCTGTGCTTATGCATTGAACCAGCTAGTGATCCCTACAGCCAAGTTCATAATGTTGGAGGGCTGCCAGGGCATCCACTCCGGTGCTTCTAATTTTCAATTTGTTTTGGCACTGAGAACTTCCCGTTTGTGTTCTTATTTTCTGTTATGAGCTTGGTATTTAGTTTATGTAATAGTTATATTTTATCCAGTATTCAGGAGTTCATAAAGGGAAGTTCAGCCAGCATGCTAAAGAAGGTCTTCCCATGGACTTTTCAGGAATAATATCAGTGATCTTTGTTTTGCTGTTGCCCAAGCCTTGCTCTCAGATTTTCATACACAAAGTAGCTTTTCCTAAAAAAAAAAAAACACAGAGAAAGACTTGTACCAGCTCTTAAGAAAATATTTTCACATACTGTTTGTTCTTCCGGGTTTTACAGCTCTCCTTGGCTTTCCTCACTTGCATGCTGGTTCATGGCCACAGCTGCTCTTCTCCTGTGCTTTGCCACTGCCCTTCCTTTACAGGGATGATTGTGGGCTCCACTTCCTCAAACATTATTCTCATTCACTGTTCTCCCTGTCAGAATGGTCTCTTACTACTTTTTATTTCAAATCCATACACATCTGCGTGACCTGCCAGTTGGTTCCCTTTTATTACCAACTCAATTCTTAATTGATCCAAGTAGACTTTTGGCTCTTACTAGATTTTTTTTTTTTACAAAAGATCTGCCTTTTCTGTAATTAATGTTTCCTTTACCTGTTACATTATTCTGCAGTCTTCTACAGTCACAAGTTTTCCTTTTCAAAATCTGACTTAAATTTCCTACTTCAACAA